AACTGATTGTAGTGTAATACCTGAAACAAGCCAGGAAAACTATCTACATGACCAGATTGAAGATTAACTCCTAAAATAAGCTAGTGAAACTATCTTTCTTTCAAATAGGTCAGAGATTAATTCCTGAAACAAGCTAGGGCAACTATCTCTACAGCCAACAAAAAATAACTTTCAGATTAATACCTGAAGCAAGATAGGACAACTATCTGTGAAAAACTGATTGAAAATTAACTCCCAAAACAAGCTGGGGAAACTATCTTTCTTTCTCAAATAGGTCAGATATTAATTCCTGAAACAAGCCAGGGCAACTATCTACACGACCAGCCGAAGCAATCTTACACGGATTTCTTCTCATACATTTCCAGATTAAGTTTCACACGGACTCATCCCGAAGCAGCCCTACCCAGGCTCATTCTCATACATTTTTCAGAAACAGTTCAAATACGGTCCAGATACTGATGTCATTCTGACACTCATTTAATACAGTTCAGATAAGATCCAGATGTGGATGTCATTCTGACACTCATTCAATACAACATTCAAATACAGTTCAGATACGATCTAGAGACGGATGTCATTCTGATACTCATTCAATATAACTTTCAAATACAATTCAGATACGATCCAGATGCGGATGTAATTCTGACACTCATTTAATATAGTTCAGATACGATCCAGATGCAAATGTTATTCTGACACTCATTCAATACAACTTTCAAATACAGTTCAGATACGATTCAGAGACGGATGTTATTCTGACACTCATTCAATACAACTTTCAAATATAGTTCAGATACGAGCCAGATACGGATGTCATTCTGACACTCATTCAATACAGTTCAGATACAATCCATATGCGGATGTCATTCTGAAACTCATTCAATACAACTTTCAAATATAGTTCATATATGATGCAGAGATGGATGTCATTTTGACACTCATTCAATACAACTTTTAAATACAGTTTAGATATGATCCAGAGACGGATGTCATTCTGACACTCATTCAATACAACTTTCAAATATAGTTCAGATACGATCCATAGACAGATGTCATTCGGACACTCATTCAATACATCTTTCAGATACGAGTTAGATACGATCCAATTATGGATATTATTCTGATACTCATCCCACTACATCTACTCCTTCAGAATAAATCGACCAAAGATTTATTCTGATACTCCAACCCCTATCAATAGTAACTTTGGATAAAATTTATAAGCCCATCTCTGACAACTCTTCATCATCTATCTAAATGGAATCTTTAAGCTCATTCCCTACACAATCAACTAACACATGGTCGAGTGTAAATTTATAGGCACTCTAGTGTTCAATCATCTTCCACCTTCAAGTCACGAATGGCAGACTCGCCAATCTAACTGCTCAGGTTTAAGAAGATTGAACAGGGGAACTTGTTGTACCCCAAAATTTTCCCTCTCTTTTCTCAAGACATTTCTCACAAATATTTTCAAAAGCTCGAGTTTGCACAAGTACAAAGCAGACAAAAAGGGTGTGCAAATGCAGGTAACTATGTTGAATTCAAAATATGGTTCAGGCTTCGTGACTGATCGAAAGGAGTGGTTGGCAGATTTGGACAAACCGAAGAAGAATCTTTGATCCACAAGCTTTGACTGAGCAGTGGCTTCCTTCATGCTTGCTTCGATCCACAAGGCAATAGCTTCCTTCATGCTTGCTTCGATCCACAAGGCAATGGCTTTCTTCATGCTTGCTTCAATCCACAAAGCAGTGACTTCCTTCATGTTTGCTTCGATCCACAAGCCAATGGCTTCCTTCATGCTTGCTTCTATCCACAAGGTAATGGCTCCCTTCGAAACAATCTGCTTTGATTCCACCTCTAAACCCTTTGACACACATAGTTTCTAAACTATGAATTACAATTTGAGGTTTGGACATTTGAACTTTAGACCACTTAATCAATCGATTGTTACTAGTAGGAAAGCAATCCAGAAATTATTTCGTTTTGACTATGCCAATGAGGTCATCTTGCATGCTCAATACTTGAGACCATTCAAAGAACACACATTTGGTGGAAACAAATATTGTTTCGTCCATTGTTGAGTCTGGTCGAAGGTTGTGTGGTCCATTCGAAGGACACGCATTTGGTGGAAACAAATATTGTTTCGTCTGTTATTGAGTCTGGTCGAAGGTTTTGTGGTCCATTAGAAGGACACACATTTGGTGGAAATAAATATTGCTCCATTTGTTGTTGAGACTGGTCGAAGGTTGTGTGGTCCATTCGAATGACACATATTTGTTGGAAACAAATATTGTTTCGTCTGTTGGTCAGTTTGGTTGAAGGTTATGGATCTATGTTATCAAAACAAAAGGGTGAAGTATTCAAGATGCTTGATGAACAAAGTCCAATATGCTCCCAAGCCCAAGCTTGATGTACTATCCACATAACAGCCTAAAACCATGTCAAAAGTAGTATGATGCACTGCTATGAAACAGCCCTGCACCAAGCTACCACAACACTCCAAAACTGCTTCAAAATAGTCATGTTATGCTGCTCCTAATTTGCACCAAACTAGAACATAGGAGCTGCACCTCGAAAGCTATGAAAAGAACATACCCAAACTGTTCAAATTTCATTTGTTTTCCCCCCAAAACCTCAACAAAACTCTTCTATAAATAAGTTGTTTCACAACACATCTAAGGGAGGCTTTTGGACAAGAAAAAAGGAGAAGAAGAAAAAAAAGAGAGAGAGAACCCAAGGCTGAAGCCTTAGAACACTCTTAAACTCATAACAAAAAAAATCACAACGCCTCTCTTTCTTTTCTTTTGGACCCAAAACCAACAAAGACAACACCTCTTTTCTTTTCTTTCGAACCCAAGAACATTCGAAGGTAGCAACCCAAGTCCAAAACACACATTCCAGCTTCAAGGTAAGTCTTCTTGACTCTAAACCATTCGTTTCAAACATCATTAATCATTTCCTTCGAAGCTATTCTTTTTGTTTATTTTCCTTTCTTGTCAAGAACTAACCTGTACAGACTATAAAAATGTTGGAGTGAGAAATTTTAGCATGGTTCGACACAAAGCATTAGGCTTCGACACACACTACTTTATAGGCCCAAGCATAAGAAAAAAGGGTGTGTGAATCGGAAGGTGCATGCTTCGAACATACTGCATGAATAGAAAGATTTGTCTTTTCTCTGTGAATCGAAGGGTGCATGCTTCAAACATACTGCATAAATCTAAATATTTGTTCTTTCTCTCTTTTGCACTATTTTTATGTTTTTTAATATTTTTTCATTTTTTCTATATATTTTATTTCATTGCTATTCAATATGGTTGTAATAATTAGGACTTTTATTGCTTTCCACCCCCCATGTGTACATTTGTATCCCACATCCCCTAATGATGTAATAGCTTAGGATTTTAATTTCCGCAATTTACTGCTTTAACATAAATTGTTAGTAATTAGGGTGTGTATGGCAAGATAAAATCAACCTTAGAAAACCCTAATTTCAAAGACAAAATGCATGCAATCAAACACATTATTCACACACGTACACCCCTAGGGTAACCTCGCTTGTTGCCTCGGAAAATAGTCATGTCCCTCGCATATGGGCATTTTAGAAAAGACACTCGATAAAAAAGATCGTAGTCCCTTGATGTCCCTCGATGTTGCCTCCGGTAAATGATCTAGTCCCTTATGAAAATTGCTAAAACGTCTCATAAGTTACCTTCGATGACAATACGATTGACCCACGCCCGTCCCTTCACATCCAATTATGGGGCTTCTTACCAATCAATGGTAAGATAGGAACATCTAAAAGGGGAGGAAAAAACATAGACCTTTTGAGTAGGTATGACACTCATAGTTGCTTAGTCACAAATCAAAATCATTTTCACACTTACACTTTCAAAAAACATCTTCAAAAAACAAACATCTCTTTGAACTATTTTCAAAAACCAACACTTTGTATAAATTCTTATAGAGACAAGAATCATTACAAAGTTTGCCGCAACAAAGGCTCTTTCAAAATATTTTCAAACTTACACCCATCATAAAACACATTTTAAAATAAAGCATTTTTCAAAGTGATCTAGCAAGCAACTAAAAGCCCGTAGATAACTATGGATGAAAATGGTGCTAATACCTTCCCTTTTCTTAACCTACCCCCTGAACTCAAGAAAACTTCTCTAAAGGTCTTTCTTGTTCTTTTCACCCTTTCCTTTATTGGATAAAATAAAATTCGGTAGCGACTCTTGCTATCCACAACAATTGCGATCAAACGCAAAACACACAAGACAGTTCTCCCATTGTATTACACAATGCCACGATTTTTCATAGTACTTTGAGGGGGTACATATCAAATAAGACTGATTTGTATGTTTCTCTTAAGCGTTGAACTGAAGAATTAGGTTTTATTTGGCTCTGAAGATCTCATCAATATTAGCTTAAGGAATTAGGGTTTGTAATCATGAGCATTTGGAATTTCTTTTTTTTACCAAGGAAAAGCCATCTTTTAAGTTACTTTCGGAAGCAATTTGATTAAGGTTGTGAATTGTAAGAGTTTACGTCTTATCATGGGTAAGGTTTAATAATACCCAACTATAGATGAGTGTATTTTCATGTCAAGGTTGCCTTCCATATTCCCGTGTTCACTTTTCAGATTTCCTCAAGGATTTACCATTGTGTTGATGTTAGTAAGTGGAAATGGTGTTTGTTAAAGATGTGATCTATTTCATGGATTTTGCATTAAACCTTTGAACTTGAATTAAAATAAGAAGGCAAGATATCGGTTAGAATTCACAAGGTTTATGAAGCATATTCAAGTGCTATTCTAGTTGAGTTCATTTAAGATGCAAGTTGCATCGTCTCTTTACACTTTGAAGCATTGCAAATTGAAAAGAAAAACGGAAGCATAAGGAGGAAGAATATACAAGAAGTGCATTCAAGTGTTATGCAATTTTATGCATGAGCAAGCTCAAAGGTTCAAGACTTATTTTATTTGAATTCCATGCTAAATGCTCATACAAGTTTCGTTCAAGATTCATTGGTTGAAAAGGAAAAATCTAAAATGTCAAAAAACATTACAAATATGTGTTCTTACAAAAGAAGCAAGTGAAAATTATAAAGAAACTACAAGTATTTTCAATGATTTTATGCTCCCTCTAATCTTGTTTTGCCTTCAATCTTTCCAACTCTCAAATCATGTCCAGGCTTTCAATTAGCCATCATGAATCCATCTTCATAAAACACCTTTTAGATCTTTCAGGCCATGCTGAATGCTTGCCATAAAGCTTCTTCCCATAATTAAGACCTGCAGAACGTAAATGCACAGTACACAAACTTGCAACACAAACTGCAGTTAAAAAACTAATTCATCAATACATGAACAAATAAAAAAAACAGAAGGAAAATATAAAGCAGGCCAAGAGAAAACTCAACATCTGATTTGGCATAAAGGGAAGATGTTCATAGCCGATATGATTAGAATTCTTATGACAGTGAGGGTTCAATTGATGGAAAAGAATCGCCATCTCAGCCGCATACCCCCATTCCATAAATTGCAAAAAATCAAAAACAAATATCTAGTCATCAACACAAAAATTCAGAACTGAAGTTGCCCTAACAAAACCAGCTACTAACACCTAACCAAACCTGCCCGATACACATTAAACCAATCCGTGAAAATTATAAAAATTAACCATACTCCGACTACTAACATAAACCCATGCAGTGCCCTGCATTAGTTGTGAAAATAAGAGGAAAATCAAGGACATTTATATCCAATACAAGAGACCAGTTCTTTCCTTAAATCCAAACCAATTCAATGTGAAAAGAAAAATAATAAAGGCAATCCCAACAACCGGTTTAGGTGATTCAAACTGCATTCAATCCAAACTCATTCACCAAATCCAGTTTCTAACAGATTTTTATCCCAATAACTGACTAGCTGAATTTCAACTTCCTAAAAACTCCTACTAACATAACAGAAAATAGAGGATTAAAATTTCAGAATTTATGGCTTATCTGAAAATTAGAGGAAAGATGAGGAAAATTGGGAAATTGAAACTGAATTTCCAACTCAGCTTATAACAGAATTTCAAATAAATCTCAGCTTTCCAATTCTAGTAACTAACTGTTAGAATTAATAGTTCAGATTTAATTTCCTTGTAACAAACTTTTCCAGATCTAGTGTAGATATATAACAGAATTCTCACCTGGTATCGAGGGATTCTTCATTCTCCTTAGAGGAGTCACCAAAAACTAGAAAATTCTCCAATTTCTGGAAGAATCACCTAAAGCTCTTTCTTCTTTCTCTCTGCTTCATCTTCTTTGCAACTCTGCAGAATCTTCATCACACTTCGTGATTCCTTCAGGCTCGCTTCAATTCGTCGTCACCATTGCATCACCTTCCATATCTGCCTACACCTTCAACCTTCTCAGCAACTGCAACAATCAATTTCATGACATGTCCAATCTTTAACCTTCGTCACTATAACGCAACAAAGTGCAGAAACACAAGCTTGAAAGCAAAGAAGAAGAGAAGAAGAAGATCAAAATGAAAAATATATAGAGTTTCGAATCCTACCTGGTTGCGTGAATTGCAGACACACCGTTGCCACCAACGTCAAAATTCGGTAGCGTGTCGAACTCGATTTGAGGATTAGATCTGACCATAGGCGTCTTAGTGAGAAAATCATGTTCCACCGTGAGGGACAGAGGCACGGGGAAGCAGAATCCGCGCGAGCAAGCTGAATTTGTATCGGAAACAAATTTGAGACGAGGTTCACGACAGAGATTGAAGAGTGAAATCATGTCGTTATGAACAAAACAAAGACTGTGATCAGAATGATGGTGACCGATGATGAGTTGAGAATGATAGGAGGAATCACGACTGAGAACGGCGAGGGAGGTCGAGTCAGAGATCGACGCTCATCGTAGTTTTGATAAAGAAGAAGGAGATTTTATTCCGCGTGAAAGCTCAAAAGCCACAGATTCTCTTAACCCTGTCTTCCCACCAATATGACACAATATTCTCTTCTTTCTTGTTTTTTTTTTTATTTCTTAATGTCATTTTAATAAACCAGATAAGTAAAATATATAAGTTGAATTGGATTGGGTTTTGTGGATATTATGGGTTTGGACCGGACCATGCTTCATAGGCCCGTTGTAGTTCTTTTGTGTGGAAATGATTGAGGATTATGAACAAAAAATGTCATTGGACCCATTCCTGTTGGAATTAGTGTTGTACCCTAAAATTTGCTCTCTCATTTCTCAAGAAATATCTCATAAGATCTTCATTGACTCAAGACTACACAAGGTTTGATCAGCTCAAGACACTTCCTCAAACACTGATTCCTCAAAATTAGGGTCTGAGTTTGTACAAAGATAATTGAACTTATAATGCCTTATATGACTTTTATGGATCATTTTGGATCCCCAAGATTTCTCATGTCAAGTTTCAAGCTTTGGATCACATTTTGCTCAGTCAGTTGATCAGTCGACCTAAAATCAATTGTATTAGGAAAAAGTCAATTGTGGTTAATTTGCAGTCAAACTTCATAATTGTTTATCCATATCAATATTATGAACTCATATATGTCAATTGATCAAGTTTGGATCACAATTCCTCAAAGAAATTTGATCAGCACACCAAATGGGCAAAATGGTCAAAATTAGGGTTTTGATTGAGAAGGCTCAGTTCTTGACTTTTGACCAAGGAAATTACTTATTGGTTTAGGACATGATCTCAAGGATTCAAATGCACCATCTTGACCTAATTGCATAATTCAAATCACCTCTCAAGATCATTGGATTGACAGATGAATTTCAGTCAACTAATGGAAAGTCAACTGTACACTGAAAAGTCAAACTTTGACTTTTTGATCAAAATCAAGTTTCAAAAATCATATTTCATCAAGACATGTCAAAATATGAAGTTTGTTCATCAAGAAATCAAAAAGTCAAAATTCATTTTTGAAAAGTCAAAATTTACAAGACTTAGAATTTTTTCTAAGTGTTAGAAAGTTAACATTTTTTCATAACTTTGTGCCAAATTTCCACCGTGATGCAAGATGATTAAAGGAAAACTTACTACATGAAACTTATAGATCTCAATGACATATAAAGCATTGTAGAGCATAACTTTTTCTATAAATACTTGGATTCCAAGTTATGAATTTATGAAGACATGTCCATGAAACTAAAAGACTTAGTGAAATTTTGCCCTAGTTAGGCAGATTTTTGGTACTAACTTAATAGAAAATTTTCACATGGTTCCAAGTTGATTCTTCAAAAATGTCAAACATAAAGGTTGTAGAGGATGTTACAAGCTTTCAAAAATGTCCAAGAACTCATCAAGACCATACTTGAGCTAAGAGAATCGAAGGTAAGAAGTTAGGGTTTCTAACTTGTTTTGCAAGACATATTTTGTGATGAACATGAACCAAATCCATAGCCATGCTGCATAATCCTCACTTTGCAGGACTCAAACTTGTTTTTCACTCCATAGTTAATGTTTTACACAACTGATTAGGCCCTTATCCAATTGTTTCAAGCTTTGTCCAAATCAATTTGCCATTTTAGGGAGAAAGTAACATATCCATTCTTGTAAAGTAAGCTTTATGCACAAAGTCAGCTTCTTGAGATCCTAACTTGTTTTCCTTGATTACACTCAATCTACAAAGTCATAGGTATTGTGTTTAAATTGGTTAACAACTCTATGAACCAAGTACAAGGCATGGAAACTTGTTTTGTCAAAAAATCTTATGTTGAACTTAAACATGTAAATTTGAATTCTGATCAACTAGAGAACTCCAAACCTTTTGCTTATAAATAGAGGCATTATTTATGATCTAGGACACGAATACTAAGACCCTGAAACTCCCTCAAGCACTCACAAACCATAAATTTCTCAAAAAACACCATTGATACACAGTCTGCCCTTGAACTTGTATATTTCATTTCCCTCGTGCATTTTCCCTCAAAATCATTTGCAAAGCTTCTAAACCTCAAATATAGTCCATCAATGTCCTTGTTTTGGAACTGTAACATCTCCATCACCATCCTCCATAACCAAAAACAGAGGTTTGCAACTTGACTTCTCCAGATCATTCCAGCCATCCATAACTCAAGCTAAGCATTGCATTAACTTCCTAGAGGTCCAAGGAAGCTAACCTGGTCATCACAACTCTTTGAAAGAAGCTCAAACTCATTTCACGATTTCTAGTTCTTGAGGTATTTTTCTGAACTTTCATCTCTTCATTTAGGCATTGTTAGGCTTTCATTTTCAAAGTTTTCATTTAATTTGCCTGAGCTTAGAGAATTTTAAGTTTGAATCTCTGAAAAAAGTTAGGTCAGGATTTGGTACTTTTAGAAATACATGCTCATTTTTTATTGTTAGTCCAAATTGTTTACATTTCTGAAATCCTGGTAAAATTTCTAACAAGTTTGATGTTGGAAGTTTTGAGAATGGATGAGAAATGAATGAGATACAAGGACCTTGGTTGGAGGTTGAATATGAAGTTCATTTCTAGGAATGGATTTGTAATATATATATTTATGGTTTTGTTTAAGTTAACGGATGTATAGCCACCCCAGTGGTAAGGCAGCGCGCGTTTATGGTCAAGGTCATGGGTTCAAGCCCCAGCGCTGCCATTTGCACATTTTCCAACATTGTTCCATCCTTTTTGTTTGAACCATGCGCGCTTGGGCCCTGAATCAACTGGGTTTTGTCATTTTTGTCTTCAACCCCCCTGTTTCACTAACATAACCTCTAGCCCATTTATTTTATTATTCTTTCTGACTTACAAAAAACAATAATGGGCCTGACTAAAAACTGTTTTTACTTTTAAACCATCCAAGTCATTTTCACACCCCCTAACTTTTATTTTGATATTTTATTTTATTTTATTTTATTTTATTTTTTCTTTATTATTTACTATTATTATTATTATTATTATTACTATTTTATTAATAAAAATCCAAAAAATACGTTATTTATTTATTTATAATATGCCTATAGTTTTATTTTATTTCCTTTTCTAAACTAAAAAAGACAAAAATACTTTTTCTTAAACAAATTTAAATCTTTGCTTAAATAAATTAATAATTAGATTTAGGTTTAGTTTTTTTTAATTAAAATTAACTTAGAATTTAGGTTTTCTTTTAATTAATTACTTTCCATACTATTTTGATTAAACTTAAAACCTTTTCTAAAAAAACCTAAAATTGCTTTCTTGAATAATTTTATTTCTTTTAAACTAGAGTTTAATTCTACTTATTTTAATTAATTATTTTCTTTTAGATAATTAGGTCAAAACCAAACCCTTTCCTCAAAGACCAAACAAAAAAATCGATCTTTTTTCCATTCACATCCATGCACATTATATTCATTTCAATTCTTGTACATTATTTCAATATGGTTGTAATAGATAATTAGGTTTAATTTCTTGCAATACCCATTTGTAAATTTGTATACCCCATCCCCAAATGATGTAATAGCGTAGTAAATTTACTTTCTGCAATTTATCGCTTTCATATCAATGCTAGTAAATTAGGGTTTGTATTGAAAGATAAAATCAATGCTTAGAGAACCCTAATTCAAGATAAATCAAGCATAAAAAAATAAAAACTTGCACACTTACACCCCTAAGGTTAACTCCACTTGTTGCCTAAAAAATGGTCATGTTACGCATGTGGGATGTCTTAGCAAAAACAATCAAAATACAAGATCATAGTCCCTCGATGATGCTACAAATGTTGCTTTACAAATTATCTTAGTCCCTCAAAGAGAAACGCTAAGATATCTCACAACATTACTATCATGACTATATAATGACCCATGTCCATCCCTTTACATCCAAAGATAAGGCTTCTTACCAATCAATGGTAAGATAGCAATATCAAAGGAAAGGAAAGAAATGAACAAAAGACTTTTGAGCAGGTAGAAACGTTCTTAGTTGCTTGCTCACTTTCAAAAACAAACACACACCAAACACTTTCAAAACAAACAAACACTTTCAAAAAATGAAATATTTTCAAAAGTCCAACACTTTGTGTACGTTCTTACGAAACGAGAACCATTACAAAGTTTTCCTAAACGAAGGCGCATTTTCAAAACTACTTTCAAAAAACCACCACAAAGCATATTTTCAAACAAAGTAAGTGATCTAGCAAGCAACTAAGAGCCCATAGATAACTATGGATCAAAAGGGTGCTAACACCTTCCCTTTTCATAATCTACCCCCCGAACTCAAGAAATAATCTCAAAGGTCTTTCTTGTTCTTTTCATCCTTTCATTTTTGGATAAAAGAAAAGTCGGTGGCGACTCTTGCTAACCGCAATAATTGCGATCAAACGCAAAACA